CAAATAATAAAGCAGTTTACGAGTGTTGTGGTTTAAATATTTTCTTGTTCTGAGGACTATCCCTAGATTGACGTTAACTTTATGATGTTGGAGATGTGTTTCTTGTGATTTAATTTATCATTAGTATAAACTCTCAGTAATCTGAAGGTGTCCACCTTTTGAATAAGGATTTCATTAATATTTTAATAATTACTGGAAATATCCTGAAATTTGTTTTTTTGAAGTTGATCGAAATCTGATTTAAGGTTGCCCAGTGAAATAAATTTGATAAGGATCTGTTGGTATTTGAAACTAGATCTGCTAGGTCATGTGATCTGGAATAAATATTGCAATCATCAGCATAAATAACACTATGAGATGGTCAGTGCTATAAGGCGTGCGGGTCCGCACGGCGAATACGCTGTTGAGATGCTATAAGGCATGCGAGTTCGACGCCGTTGAGATGCTATTAAGCGTGAGGAATCCGCACGGTGAATTGAACGTGTTAATGCTGAGGCCGCACGGCAAATTAGACGTTGGGATGCTATAAGGCGCGCGAATGGCGGAGGTGAATACGACGCTTGAAATTATAAATCGTGAGGCACCCGCACGTCGAATTCGACGTTTGAGATGCTACAAGGCGTGCGAATCACAAACGGGCGAACACTTTTGAAATCATAAATCTTGAGAAACCTGCACATCAAATTCGACTTTGAGATGCTATAAGGCGTGCGAATCACGAACCGACGAATACGACGTTCGAAATTATATTTCGTGAGGAACCCGCACGTCGAAATGTTACAAGGCGTGCGAATCACGAGTGGGCGAATACGACGTTTAGACGGTGAAAAGCGTGAGATTCGCACGACGAATTCAACGTTGAGAAATCTATACAACAAATTTGACGCTATTTTGACGATACAGGACAAAGTCGAAGCGCAAAATTGGACGTTTATTAAGACAATATAAAGCATTTTTGTTACAGAATGACAATTTTGAAAATAAAAAATTTATTGCATCAAGTGTCATAGTAACATAACACACACAGACGAACACACATATTTACACAGTAATGCACACGAGTACATTGTTCATGTGTTAACGAGTAAAAATATAGTACAGCCTTAATACAATTGAGTACATCATAATGCTTCCGAGTTGATGTAGAAATAATTGGTGCCGTATGGTTGGTAGTTGTTTGTTGAATTGTAGTTGTCTTGTTGTTGCTTTGTCTTGTTTCGATGGTTCTCGATGAATGGAGATTATTATCCTGTGTTTCTGTGTTTATTACTGGTTATCAACAATTCTTATCAAGCTGTTGAGTGTGCGGCGAGTATGGGGGTGTGTGTCTGTCTGTATGTTTGTGTGTTTAGTGTTTGAATTGTATGCGGTGTAATGGTTTGTTGATTATGTATGCTTGTAGGATGTCGTTATGGTTTTGGATGCATCCATGTAGAATTAGATTGGTGATGATTTCTTCATAGAATGAGTTTAGTTGTCTGTTGTATGGTCGAACGATTATGAATTTGTCATTGTTGTTTTTGAGATTGGCTATTAAATATTTTAATTTAATTTTTATTACTACCTTCCTATTTTTGCAGTATGCCACATAAACTGCTGCAGTGCAACCACACAACAAGGATGCATAGTTAGGTCGTGTCCCAGTTTTTTTCAAATTTGCAGATGGTTTAACATTTCCATAGTGCTTACAGACCCACCTAATGCAATAACAATTATGAAATATACAAAAATTAATATTGTATAAAAATTTAAAATATTCATAATTATTGAACTTAAGGCTTGAAAATATTTTATAAATTTAAAAACAACCTCTGACTGTATTGCATATCTGGGTCAAGATCAACAATTTTGGCGCTTTCCAGAATACACTTTTTGTTAAAATTTTTAACTATTTCTTTAGTGTCACGCTTAATTGGATGGTAGTTTTCTTAAAAAAACTTTCTTTCACATCAACGGCTTTTTCAACATTCACAAATCCATCTCTCTCCTAACTTTAATGACTCGGAGCTCATTTAACAAATAGAACATTTAAAAAACAAAATAACAAATTTAATTTTATTTAATTAAATTAGATCAAAGAAAACAAAAATCAAGCAAATCTCCTAAAGCCTCGCCGCTCACAACTGAAGGAAAAAAGATAATGAACTCTTGCCAAAGATAATAAATAACAGTATTACGACGCGCAGATAAAAATTTATCTAAAAAAAAATTTTTTTTAATTTATTTTCAATTGTAAGTAACGGAAATTTTTACAAATACTTTTTAAAATAATATTCGGCATAAAAAAATTTTTGAACATATTTTTTCGTACGCACGCCTTATAGCAGTCTAACAAGTTCATGGTCGACGTGCGGCCCGCACGCCTGATAGATTTATCGCTATGAGATAGTGTTGAATAAGAATTAGAATTAGTTTTGAATAAGAATGAGATAGTGTTGAATAAGAATTAATAAGAATTAGAAAAGAATCATTCAAGAAAATGTTGAATAAAAGCGGACCCAGCACACTACTCTGGGGAACTCCACTAACAATTGGCAGCGCTGATGATGATATACCATTAATAGAAACATACTGGCTTCGGTCTGTTAAATATGATCTCAGCAGAAGCAATAATGGTCCTCTGACACCATAGTTATCTAGCTTTTTTAAAACGATCTCATGATAGACGCAATCAAACGCCTTTGAAAAATCAACAAAAACTGCAAGAGAGAATGAAGATTATTTTTGTGGTTGAAAGTGATGTCATTGGTGAATTGGATTAATACATTTTCTGTTGAAAGACCTTTTCTGAATCCAATTTTATTTTTCTCCAAGAATGAATTTATTCTGGTTGTAATAATTTTTTCATAAATTTTTGAAAAACACGAAATGATGCTGATCGGTCTATAGTTAGCCAATGATCCAGATTTGTGTATTGGAATGATCTTTGCTATTTTTAGAATATCTGGTAAAGTACCTGATAATATTGATTTATTGAACAAAAAGGATAGTATTTCAACGATGGAATTAATTATTGATTTGATAACTTTATTTGACAGATGATGATGATCAGTGCTTTTGGAATTGGATAAAGTATTGGCATGTTGTAGGATTTCATTCGCATCAATGGGCTCCAGAAAACAGGAATTAGAGATGGGAGGATCCATGAATTGCTTTAAATTATGATCAATTGAGCTAGGAGAATTAAACAGATTTGTGAAGTATCTGTTAAAGGAGTCTGAGATAATTACTGGATCTGTTATTATTTGGTTATTCATTATTATCGGCGGATTTTTAATTTCTTTTCTATTATTTAAGTTTTTATATTATTGATATTTGATGCAAAGATTTCTTCATAGTGTTTCTTTTTGTGGAATTTTATTGCGTTATTTACTGAATTGCAATATTGTTTATAGAATGCTAAATTTTCTACTGAGTTGTTTTTTTTAAGTTTCTTGAATAATTTTTTTTTCTAATGTTTAATTTAATTTCAGGTGTCAGCCAGGGTTAAACAGATTTGAATTTATTTCATTTTTTATGAGTCAGAGGGCAATATTTATTTATGTTTGTTTCAATGGTGTTCATAAAAGTAGTGAAGCATTTATTGCAATCTTCAATGGAAGTTACGTGGAACCAGTTCTCCATATGTAGGGCTGATGAAAGTTTGAAAATATTTTTTTGAGAGAAATCGTGGAAAGATTACTGTTCATTATTTTTGTTGCACTTCGGAAGAGGTTTAAATACACTGAGAAATGAAGATTGGGTAATGATCTGAGATATCCGTAATAATGGTACCACTTTGAAAAAGATTTGGATTATTGGTGAAGATATTATCGAGGATTGAATCAGTTGAACTAGTTGGACGGGTGGGAATATTTATTGCTGGCAGGATTGAAAAGGAGTTAATTAAATCTATAAAGTGTTTTGAGTTGTTGCTAAAGAGATTTAGATTTATATTAAAGTCACCGGTGAGAGAGATAATTTTATTTTTATTAGTGAGAAGTTCCAGTAGCTGGTTGAGGTAATCTAGGAAATTTTCAGTATTTGAATTTGGTGGTCTGCAAATATTGACAACTAAGATATTTTTTTATTCTGAGAAATTATTTCTATAATGTCAGCTTCACATTCAATGTTGTTTACTGGTAAATCTTTTCTATGGAGAAATTTTAAATTTGACTTTATGAAGAAAGCAATACCACCACCACTCTTGAGGGGTCGGCATGTAGTGGTGCAGTTATAAATTGTTAGATTTGCAAATTTTTCATTTTGAGGAGTAAGCCATGTTTCTGTGAAAGTAAGAACATCAAAATCGATGGGTATTTCATCAAGCATTAGTTGTATATCATCTAATTTGTTTGTTATGCTTCTGCAATTAAAATTTAATAAATTAATTTGGTTCTTTTCTCTTTTTTGAATTGAATTGATAATATTATTATTAATTTCATTTGGCAGGTATGCTTTACAAGCCAGAAAAGAATCAGAAAAGGAAACAAAAAGGGAATTATAATAATGGTTATCCGAATTACAATTTTTTTTGAAATGTTATTATGAATGAATCATCATAGATAGGAAGAGTAAAACTTAGCGTGTATATCATCCTTTATGATATCCAATAACCTAACATGTTGGTACTATGGATATGTATGTCTTGATGATGATTTTATGATGTCTAACATGATGATTTTATAGATATCAATTTTTTGTTACCTTCTAACAGGTTGTGATACTATGGATATGTATATCTCGATACCTTCTAGCATGTTGATATTATGGATATGTATATCTTGATATTTTTTAACATGATGGAAATTATGAATGTTTATTACACTTAGTCATTGTTATCTGAGGTAAAATTTATGGAGTGTTAATGGAAAAGACGTTGTAAATTCATTAATGATCGTAAACATTCCTTCTTGTATATAAACGACGCAAGCGATTAGTACGTATTGATAGAAAATTTCTTTATCTTCTAAAGCGAAGCCTAATTTAGCTAAAAAATTTCATTCAGTAGAAGTTTGAAGATGACTAAGTCATTAGTCCCTGGTAGACCAAGGCGAACTCGTGGAACGCTGGTAAATAGCAACATGTGGTATGAGAGAGCTTCAGATATCGAGACAGATGATATCAAAAAAGCAAAGAATCAGTTGGAAAATTTTTACAAAATTTTTTCCGATTTTGATGATGTAACTTGAATCCTTATTTTTACATAAATTTTTTACCATATTCTGATAAATGATTTTCATATAATAATTTTATTTTTTGAATTATTTTATAGGCAAAATTCGTTGGATTCCAAAAAGATGAAATTGAAGAATGCAGAAGCAGACTGAATTTGAAATGCTTTGACAACGTTATAAGCATAAACCAGGAAAAAGTATCGTTTGGGCCGGTATCGAGTACGCCTACAGTTAAAAAAGTTGCCAGGAAACTTCAATCTCCACAATTTACTGACGATGAACTTCAGGACAACGAGATCGACAATAACGACAGCGACGACAAACCTGCTGAAAAGCGCACGATTGGGCTGGTATCGAAAACGCCTAACAACTTAATCACAAATGTTAATTTTTCTACAGATGAAAATAAACGTGATGGCGGAAAGAGGCAAAAGAAGAAATCCGCTGGAAAAGTTAGTGATGTTAACCAAGATGACAATGAACTTTATCAACAATTGGTAAATAATCTGGATAATATGATGCTGCAAAATTTGGACTATCTCAAAGACATTTCAGAAGAACAACTCAGAGATCCTCGACTTCTAAAAATTATTTTACAAAATTTACAAAAATGAGACATTAAATAATGTTTTTGGGTCTGTTAAAAAATACAAAAATAAAGATATATCGGTCCACTGCGATATGGTGTTGTAAAAATATTATTCTCTGACTAGCATACGAACTGATTTCATAAAAACTGCAAATGTTTCATACAACGAAATGAAAATTGGCTAAATTTCATGTAGGGACTTGATTTTTCAGAGTAATAAATTGGGTAAGGAATAAAAAAAAAGCTAAAATAAATTATAAGTTTAGAGGTGAGTTGCCGCCTGTTTTTGAACAACTGGATTCAAGGCGAAAGAGCGTCATTGTCATTACATAATTTTTATCTATATATATATATATATATATATATATATATCAATATATATTTATACATATGTGTATGTTTGCATATATACGATCCGTATGCATTATATCCGATACGTGTGAATCATACAAAAAGTTAGTTTTATTTGATTGTTCAGTGATTGTACACTTGCTACATTGATTGGAAAGGATATTTCTTTCTATAATATCGACAGTTGTTTTCGTGGTACGATGCCTGCTTGCTAGAAGTATTTTCTGATTTTTAAACTTTTCAAAACTTTATTAATTATATTCATTCTATTTGAAGAATTTTACAAATTATTCTATTCTGTAGATTATTTTTATAGTATCAATATTTAATTATATTCTAACTAAAAAATTTTCTGTCATTTTGTTGTCAGGAATAGAATTCGTTATGTTAAGTAAATTTTATTAAAAACATTTTATAAGTTTTAATGAATATTTGATAAAATTCACGCAGTTTTATAATTAAAAAATAATTTACAGTTTAATGAATATTTGATAAAATTCACGCAATTTTATAATTAAAAAATAATTTACAGTTGTATTTTATCTATAATAATTTACGTATCATTAGTTCACGTTTAGAAAATTTGTTTTGAATATCCATGTAGCAGAATAAGACAGCGTTAAAATTTTTGATATTCGAATCATAACGTGAATGATAAATGTATATATAAAAAAATTAAATATATATATATATATATATATATATAAATGCATAGATATAATGCATATTTAAATTAAAAAAAACAACTTTTGACAAAGAGAAATAACTAGTTTACATTTGTCAAAATTAAAAAATAAATTATTTCTGTGTGTTTTATTATTCTGAAATTTTAAATACATTTTTAGATTCATTTTAAACTTTTGCTTGATATTTTTGAAATTTTTGAACATTTTCATTAAAACTTAAAAAGAATTTGTAAAAACTTGCAAACACAAGTGCTTAATAATAAAGTTTGAAATACGCGCTGTTCAAAAATTTGTTTTCAATACTTTACCCAAGGAATGTCTTAGGAAAAAATTGTCATAAATTTTTATCAGTCTTTATATTTTTTGTCAAACTCTATTATGAATTCAATAATATGTAATATAATTTCATCCAATCATTTTTTTTTCATTCTATGAAAATTTTTGTTTAAAACTGTTAAATAAATTTTCATTTTTAACAGTTCTGAAGAAGACAAATTCATGTGCTTCCATCAAACATCGTAAGTGAATTATCAACAAATTTTAAACCAATTGGAATCTTACAGTTTTTAAATTAAAATTTAACTTTCAAATTGATTCACAGGTAGGTAATATAAATCTGTTTGAACAACACTCGACATTTCAATCGGAAATCAATTGCATAGATACCAATTGGTCAGGCATCATTTTTCAGATAATCTGCTATTATTCTTCGATCTTTGACTCTTTCATCGCCATTTGATTGTTTGATAAAAACTCAACTATGACAAAGGTAAATGCTTGGGACGACTGTCTTTCAGAACAGAACTTTCCTATTGATCTTTCAAAACGTTCTAGAAATATTACTACAGGTGCTGATAAACTTTCAGAGATTCTGATTTTGCGCAACAATGAAGAGAAAGAGAAATGTGAATATCTAAACCAAATGACGTCTAACTGTCTTTCAGAACAGATCTTTCCACTTGATCTTTCAAAACTTTCTAGAAGTCTTTCTACAGGTGCTTATGAACATAAAAAGGTTCTGAACATTTGCAACAATGAAAAGAAAGAAAAATGTGAAAATCTATACCAGATGATGTCCAGCAAATTCAAAACTCAGAAGATCAAAAGACCTATGAATGCTTTCATGCTCTACAGGAAAGACGAATCAGTCCAGTATCGTAAGATTTTTGCAAATATATTAGAAATGAACGCCGAACTGGGTAAAAAGTGGAGAAATGAACCACAACATGTGAAGGATCGTTACTTCGAATTAGCTAAATTAGAAAAACAACAGCACAAACAACAGCATCCTTATTTTACGGAGAGACGTAATCAAAAATGTGGAAAGCAAAAAGAATCACAATTTGTTTATGGTTCGTTGAAAACATCAATCAGTGAACCAGTGATCAGTAGCTTGCACAAAACATCAACAAAGTCAAAAAAACATATTTGGAATTCTTCTAATAATACGATGATTTCAGCGAGAAGCGCAAATCAACCTAAGAAGTTATCAAATGTGCAAGATGATGAGTGTCCCATTTCGCCTGAAATGATCATAAAAAATTATGTAACAAATTTCAAACTATCTGCACACATTCCAAATGTGTGGGATTATAAAAAACTGAATAAGCGTCAATTTCAATCGGAAAATTATAATAGTATTGAATCATACAAAGAAATCAACCTAGCCAAACTAAAAAAAATTGATAAAAAGTTCAGCAACTTCTTCCCGTTAGAAATAAATAACGAAAAAAGTGAGCTTAGCTATGAATGTTCGAATAATATAATTAATGAACAACGTTTGACATGCAAAATTGAACCGCAAGAGGATGTGTGGAATGTTCAAAATGAAATGGCTGAAGAAGCAACAACACAACAATGGCTACAAAATCCTAACAGTAGGTACCATTCATATTCCATATTGAATGTTGCAAAACAGTTTCATCTTGCTCCTAATCCGTTTGTAACACCCACTAGTAAACTGTTTGCAGATGGTTTCCATCAACATTCATTCAACCAAGTCAATAGAAACTACTTTTGAATCTTTTCTCCAGCAATCTGATTTTACTCCCAATCCTGCATGTTTGATTAAGTGTGCCAATCAAGGTCTCAGACTGTCTTACTCCACCTACAAAGAGTATTTGGGCGAGGAATTAAAAACATCAGAAGGACTCTCTAATGCATTCGAGGTATTTGACGATTAAAAGTCGTTAAAAATTGGATCACAAGACGTTGTTCAAATGCCTTTCAAAGTTATAAAATATTATACAGTTCAATAATTAATATATAATATTATATAGTTCAATAATTTTATTCACATCGCTCAATTTTTCTTCAATAGTCCTTTCATGAGTGTTTTCAATGAAAATGTTTCATATTTTTGTAATTTTACTAAAAACTATCGTTAAATTCATGTGGTTATTCACTAGCTCATATTTTCAGTCAAGTTTTTTTGCTAATTAAATATTTTTAGCATTTTCATAATTAAATTTTTAAATAAACAGTATTATTTGTAATTATTAAGTGGAATGACGCTAATTGTTACATTTTTATATTTATTGTTGACATTGCAGGAAAAGTGCTTTTTTACTTGAAACAGTATTTTAAAAATTTTCAATGAAATTTTAGCCAGATTTAGAATAATTTCACAAGTATCACAATGACTAATTTATATTTTTTATGACGATGAATTTTGATTGTGCGAGTTAAATTATGTAGTGTTAGTTGGTGTTTTGAAAAAATTATGAAAAAAGTTCCGTTCTCATTTATCATCTGAAAAAATTAAAACATTAAGATTAATGAGGAATTGACTGCTCTTACCCGAAGTTTTCCAATGGGTTTCTAATGAAAACGTGAGATTCTTATATTAACTTCAACAATTGAATATTTTGGAAATTTTTTATAGTTTCAAAACTATTTTTCTGATCCAGTAAAGCAACTTATCACAACATACGTTCCAGACATACTTAGTGTAGCTATACAAAAGGGTGTTCACAAGGCGTCTCCTGGTTGGTCTACAATGTGTTAATGGAAAGGTAAATTTAAAGTTCAAATTTTTGTAAAGTTTCTTTTTCCAGCCAAAATTTTTTGAACGATGTGTTAATGGAAAGGTAAATTTAAAGTTCAAATTTTTGTAAAGTTTCCTTTTCCAACCAAAATTTGTTGAACGAAACTTAGCGATAAGACGATACGAAACAACACACCGCAGCTCAACGTCTGCTTTCACGAATGTTAGTGCCAAAATTCACACTTAAACTAATTTAGAAAATAATTAATGTAATTCTTGTTACGTAATATGACTATTTTAATACCCATACTTTGATTACCCAAAATTGCAGTTTATTTGAATTTTTCAACTCTATTTTATCTAATCTACATTGTAAATTTTTACAACACGTTGAAAATGTTCACATGAAAAGTATTTCGTAATATATATTATAAGTCTTCATTTAACTTTGTTACTCTTACTCAATTAACTTTTCTTTGTGAAACGTTGAACACTCCAAAATTTTAAACAAAGGGTTTTTCTTACGAAACTATTGAAATTAATTCATAATTATAGCAACAGATGTAGTAAAAGTTATCATTGTAAGTGGTAATTTGATATCCAGGACAGAAAATGTTTATTTATTAGACACGAGAGTTCGCTTCAGGGAAAGTTTAATTGCAGACAAATATCTTGCGTTTCCATGGGTTGTCTTTAATTCAACTTTGCGAAAGGTTAATAAGAGATTTTCAAGCATATTTCTTAACGGCGTCTGTAAATAAATAATCATACACCAGATTTTTAAAAAATTTCATTTAATGAAACATTTTTATTACGATTATTCAAAATACATATACGTTCGTTATTTTGAAAATTATAAGGTTATTAAATCACAAAGTCAAAATTAATCACTCACTTTAAAAAAGCAACAAAGATCTTACAAATATAACTTTGCATTTTGCACGCTGTAAACCAAAGTAATAAAACAGTAATGAAAAATTCTAATACACTATATATAAGCTTTTGATCACAACGGAACACTTATTATTTTCTAAATTTCTTCAGCCGTGTTAATACACATTTGAAGTCGCACTATATAAACTTGAACAAAACTTGGAACAAATTAAAAAATTAATCATTACACTTTCATAATTAAAACAATCGGATAAACAATGGAAAAAATGGATACTTTGTTGGACAATGAGATCCCAGAAATGAAAAATCAAAAAAAAAAGAAATGTACGATTGACAACTGCCAATTTTCAGCCGTGCACAACCACCACTTAAAGTATCACATGCTGACAAAACATGGAATAGGACAAAAACTTACGTGTCCAATTTGCCCACACACATGCGCAAACAACTCCAAGCTCAACTGCCACATGAAGATTCACTCAGAACTGAGGTCTCACTCGTGCCAAACATGTGGAGCCTCATACAAATTACCGTACCCGTTGAAACAGCATTTCACTAAATATCCATTGCACGTTCCAACCACAGATGCAAATTCACCAGCTCCAGAGCCCAGAAGGAAACGTGAAAAGAAACAGCATTCAACAAACAATGTGGAAAACATCAAAATAAAAGAAGCCGGTAATGTAAATGGAAGTGGAAGGGCCAATGAAGGAGTGCAGGAATCAAGGGATCATGGTTGCACTATATCAACTAAAGTGAAATAAACAAAGGGAAGGAGGCCCAGAAAAGGGGTGCCGATAAAAATTGCCTGGTTTGCTCCACCATCAGACGATGAAGAAATGATCAAGGAAAAATTTTTTTAACGTCTTGTTTTGCAGTTTTTTAATTTTAATATTGTGAAAAATACATCAGAACAATTTAATACGTATAATTTTTATGAAATATTTCTACAATTTCTTATGTTTGTTGCACCAAGAAAGATGTCATTGTTGTTTCAAATGCCATGTAGTGTTGCAAAATTTCTAATTCATAAAAGTTTTGGGAGCACAAACAAAAAATAATAAGGATATGTTTAAAACAAAAATGTTTTGTTTTTTCATGGTTTTTTTAATTAAAAGTACCCTAAACTACATAATTTGATATTTATGCAAAATACAACAAAACTCAGTCAAATGGAAAGTTGTCCTTCACCGATATTTTAGGGCTTAAATGGATAATAGGGAATAGAGAACAATTGTAAGCTGTTAAACATTCCTGCTCGAAAACACGCACCAGCGTGGTCAGGGGTTGTCTTGAAGCTGAAACTCTCACCAAAATTTTTGTTAGCGTTAATTTGAACTAAAATGTGTTTATGGTTTGAGAAAAAACTGTTTTAGTCACCTCAAACTTTAAAACTTATCCAATTTTCTAATACCCAGGTAATTGTATAAGAGTGAACTAATTTGGAAAATAACATAAATAAAAAACACTGTCTTTAATAAACAATCATTTACAAAAGGGTTTCTAATCTTATTTCAAATGAATTGAATTTTCATCAACACAAATGTAGTCAATTTGATGTGTAATCATAAATTAAAAACGTACACAATAAAATAAACAAAAATATTTTTCTAAAACATAAAATTAGCATTTAATGATGGATAATAAACAAAGGAACTATGAAAACGATTGGCAGATGTTGGAACGATCAAATCTGTTTTACGGTTATCGTGGGCTTAAAACGCGTAGAATAAAAGAATAAAATTGCCAAATTAACTAAAAAAGTTGTGTATTAAAAATAACAAAAAATTGAAATTATGTGAAAATAGACAAAAACAACAAAAATAAAAAATGACTCCCAAAATATAACAACAAAAGCGAAATAAAAAAAACATTGAACCGACAACTGTAGACTGTAATTTACGTCAAAAACATTAGCTACGCTGACTTTAAACAGCACTAAAATAACGAAAAATTTTTGTAATTAACCAGAAAAATTTCCGCAAAAAACACACGATAGAGCTGAAAAATTATAAAAGTTGGTACTGAATAATAAAAGTATATGTTTTAAATAATTTCTCCTGAAATTTTATTTTATTAGGCAGAACTCTGCTTATAATATTTAGGCAAACAATGCTAACAGTACCTTGGCGCATTGTAATTTAACAAAAACGGACAACAGCGTTTGCCAAGTTTGCATAAAAAATATATGTTTCTGCTTCTAGAGCAAATCTCTAAAAAAATTTTTTTGCAAATCTGAAAACGAGATTTAGTAAAGATTCAATTGAAAAATTGGGTTCAAATAAAGAAACCTGCTTTTTTCGAATTAAATTAAAATGTTCAAATCATACATTTCAAGATTATTTTTACTTTACTTGTTATTGGCCTGTTTGTTATTTTTTTATAGTAAAACAAGTTAGCAATGGAGATCATAACACAGTGCTTCGACACAATGAACAAAATTTGTATTTTCAGCCAAAATAAGGCTCTGATGAAAATGATCATAAAAAGAAAATACAATAAAATGAGCAACGTCGTATTTGAATGTGGTTGTCGCAGTTTTTTTGAAAATTATTTTGCTATGATAACATGATAAGAATATCCACATCTCAGAGCACAATGAACAGTAAAATTGTTGTAGACAGAACCTGTGATGAACCGCGATATAACATTGATCAAATTTCTCCATATTTGCGCAGTGTCAACATGGATGTTTTGAGTTTGAAATTCGGGGACTTTTTTTGAATTTTAGTTTGGCAAAAAAAGCGTACAAAAAAACAATTTAATTCATTGATAACTCAAAAGTTTTTCTGAAAAAACAGATTAAATACATTTGTTTATCCAAGCGCCTCTAACTATTATTATTATACCTAAATATCAAAATGTGGCTAGGAACAACTCATAAACTACTTCAGGTTGACGGGTTCAATGATCCAGTGACAAATCTAGATGTGGTTATGGATCCAGACCTTTCAATAAAGTCTCATGTAAATAAATTATGTAAGAAATGTTTTTTCCAGCTACAAAAACTAAGAGCCATCAGACGATATTTGGAATGCGTTACCTGCTGATCTAAAGAATTTCAACATCATGAGTCGAAGTGAATTCAAAAAACGGCTAAAGACTCATTTTTTCAACATTCAACAGCGAAGAAAGTAGAGAGCGCTTCTGAAGTCAACTCACAAGAGGCGCTGTACAAATTCTGCAATGCATATCGTTTTAAATTCATATTCGTAAGTCTGAGTAGTTAAATTTTTTTTCACATTTTTTTGTATTCTAACATTTTAAACACGTGGCATTAACTGTTCCAAAATATTTTCTTAAATTTAATAATTATAATGTTAATAATATGTCTTATACATATATATTAATATTAATATAATATCATTATAATATTAATTACATAATAATATATCATATGATATATATATATATATATTAATTTATCTAAATTCAAAACCAAACTCCTGAACCTTCTATTGAAATCAATCCTTACACGCACATGCAGCCATGGACAACTCCGATTGGACAGGAGTTAGAATGCAGACGATCAACTGATTGATACCATGAAGATCATCAACCGGTTGAATTGCCTACAACTCATATCGATTACAGTTATAAAAAGGCGAGGTGCTTTAGCAACGAGAGGGTCGTACGGAATGGTTTTATGTTTGAAGTAGCCAAATAAGAGAATAAGAATAACCTCAATTTCAATATTTTAGAAGAATTCAATGCATAAAATTATTTGTGCAATAATTGTTCACGTTGCAACTAAATTCAATATTTACTATTACAAAAAATCAAAGTCAATAATTAGGATTTACTTTGATTCGCTTTATCAAAGTGATTACTTAAGATTCATTTTGAAAAGCTCTCACAATTCTAACTTTGATATGTGCAGTAAGTGATTACTTAAGATTCACTTTGAAAAGCTCTCACAAATATAACTTTAATATGTGCTGTAACTTTAAGTGTTCAACAGTAACAAGGTCAAAAAAAAAGTTACAACAAACTATATAAGCCTGTTCACAATTTAGGCAAATCAAAATAATTGTTTTCTAATATTCCTTTAGACGTGTTGATACCAAATTTTGTAGTCATAATATTTATAAACTCTAACATAATTTAAAACACAACTCATTATAACCAATCGTAAAACGTTCATAACTTAACATTAATACAAGTCTTTTGTAAATGGAACGTATGGATTTTTCCTTCCTTAACGAGGTTCCTGAAATGAAAACAACAAAAAAGAAGAAATGTCCTGTTGACAACTGCGAATTTTTAGCAGTGAACAACCACCACATGAAATACCACATGCTGACTAAACATGGAATAGGACAAAAACTTACGTGTCCAATTTGCCCACACACATGCGCAAACAACTCCATGCTTAACCGCCACATGAAAAGCCACTCAGAAGTGAGGTCTCACTCTTGCCTGACATGTGGAGCCTCGTACAAATTTTTGTACAAATTGAAACAACATCTCACAAAGCATCCATCTCACGTTTCAACCACAGATGCAAATTTACCGGCTGCAAGACTCAAGAGGAAACGTGGAAGGAAACATAGTTCAACAAACCGCGACATGCAAGAAAAAGTCGACAATGTTAATGGAAATGGAAGGGGCAATGAAGGAGTGGAAGATGGAAGGAAAGATGTTCTGCATCATGAGCATCAAAATGAAGAGGATCATGGTTGCACTGCATCGGCTAAAGTGAACCAAACTTTGGAAAAGAAGTCCAGGAAAGGAGTGCCCAGAAAAATTACGTGGTTCACTCCGCCATCAGACGATGAAGAAATGATGAACGAAAGACTTTTTTAAGACTTGACTTTTAAGTTCCAGCATTCTTCCAAATAGTGATCTTTCCTAAATATTTAGATTAAACAAATTATGTTCTAATTTTTTTTTAAATTATAAATATGGATATTTTTTAACAAGTTTTTAATTATAACAAAAATTCAATGAAGTTATAAATTTTTTAGCTGTCAAATTTTATAAGAACACTAAAATATTTCGAACATTTTGCACCACCGTGAATGGACAAAATTAGACCTTTAACCTTCAAGAGTTTGATAAGTCGCCAGTTTAAAAATATTAAAGCACTTGCTGAGAAACATTGATTTTAACCTTATAATTCAAAAAATAGATCAATTATTGAGTTGTGGAGCATAATAACAATATAGCATCAAAAAATATGTTTCAAAAAATTTTGAGGTTAATGAAATTCGATAACACAAAAAAACATAAAAGTATAGACAAATTACAATCCGTATGAAAAGTATTTGAGTTGCGCAACTAAAGTTTGAAGAAGGCATACCAGTCAGTATCAAGTGTGATTGTAAATGAACAGTTGGTAGCAATCAGGAGTGTCAATTTAAGCAATAATAACCTTCTAAACCACGGTAAGTGGGCATTAAACTTTGGGTTCTCTATTTGATAGTAACTCCATTGCTGAAAAACAAAAATATACATGTGTGAAAAGAATAAAGTTAAAAGAGAGGCAAAAATTAACCTTGCAGAGTTGTTCTGAATTTAGTATAAAATTTGCAAAAATAGGAGAAAAATGTTACCAGTGACAATTTTTTTTCCTAATTTGCCACTATATAACAATTGAATCTTTTTTGTACATTTACTTTCGTTAAAATAAAAAAATATAAATGTTTCTGCTGGGTGAGTTTTTTTAGTAAAAAAATGATAAATAATTAGTGCTTAAAAATTGCTGGTATTTCTAAGGTTGAGCTTGGCTAATGAAAAGAAATTGAAAGCTACTTTGATCAACATTGATCAATCGTTCCTTTGATGTCCGATCTAATGTGCAACTAAAGTCAGGCCAGTCAATAAAACTTAATTGAGCGATCAATAGTTATTTTTAATTGCTTTGTTTCTTTGAAGTGAACAACGTGACAACGCTGTTTGATCAACCAATTAAGAGTTCATTTAATTGGTCTGAAAAAGTATAAAAGAAAGAAAAGAGTATAGGTGAGGTATTTTCTACAATACTCGTTCATCGTGTTAAATTATCAATTTATTTAACAAAAAACTATCAATTCTAATTCTTAACGTTTTTACTAATTTTTAAAAAAATCATTTACAATGTCTTCAATAAACATGAATAATTTAAAAATTGAAAATGTTCAAAATTTGGAAGACGAATCGTTAGATGATTCACTATTCGAAACAAATGTGAATTATTTTGAAAACAGGAGAAACATGGCAATTTACAAAGGCAAAAGATTCAAGAAAGCAAAGAATGCTGTAAGCAAAATAGTTAAAAGCTCCAACAACGCTGAAAAAATTTCAACCAAGCCCAAAATTAATGCCTCTCCAACAACTTCAGTAGAAAATCTCTCCATAAATACCTCGGTCTGGTCATCCGACTCTATCGTTCCTAACAACGTCAACAACAATTCGTATTCATCGTTTATTTCTCTTTACCCAATTTATTTCACTGATTGCTCAGCAAAACCTCTAACATCTGAGGACAACATAAGTACCAAACCAACAATTATCGATGAAGATGAAGGATCACGCATGTACATCATTTCCCATCACAACAACTGTCCAGCATGCAACGCTGAAAATCGACAGTGTAGCATTAGTGACAATTCGGATCATCTAAAACAACTCTGCATGATATTAGCAGTCCAACAGTCGAACTTATCTGTGAACGGGAGATTATAAAAATTTTTGAGAAAAATTTGGCATTTGATGAGCGATATCAATTGGTATCATAGGTAGCCAAACGGCAACCCCCGATCTCGGGGAAAATGTCGTCTAAACGTGTGTTGTTGTTGTTGATGAGCGATATTCTTCTTAGACTATTGAAATTATCAAAAACCGTTTGTCGATACTGTTCATTTGATTTTGTTGTTATCTTGTGATTGTTGTTATTATTTCTTTTCTACTATATTTTCTATGATTTATGATGGATAATTTGATAATTTTCTTTCCGTTACGTTTTCTCATTTTGAAATTCGTTAAAATGAAATGAACACTACATTTTTTTTAATTCATCAATTTTTTATGTAGATTTTCTGTTTGTATAGATTTTTTTTTGAAATTACTTTTATTTGGTTACGTATATTATATATATTTTTTCATTTTACATTATTCTTCATTTTTAAATTTAATTGATGTTTCACAAGAATATATCTCAATACGGCTACACGTTTGAATGGATTTTATTTACATTTTGGTTAAAGGGTTAAAAATTATAGAAGATATTGTAAGCCATCAAATCTTGTCGTGTACCTATAACAGATAGTCTGGACTTTTTGATAAAAGTTGGGAAACGGCTGACATTACTTTTAATTAATGCTAGTTTTATGTTTGAGCTGTTAAGACAAAATAATAAAATGAAATATATAGAGTGCGCTAGGAACAACGAGTGTTTTTTGTGTAATACTGTGTATAGTTTGCTCCCATTTTGTACTGATTATTTTAACAAGTTTTATAACGATGTGTCAACGGCTTCATTATCGCAAACATGTAAAATGTTTAGTAATGAAAGTTAAAAAGATGATACGTTTCATCATATTTTGATAAAAATGGAGTAGAGATAAAATAATTGAATAGAAAAGTGAAGATGAGTAAAGTGATGAAGAAATAAATAAAAATGTTATGAGTTGGAAAAAGTTATTAAATGAAGTTCGCATTTGAGACAAGTCAATACGGATAATTAGCTTGCAAAAAACATGGAAGCACTTGCTAAGTTGAAAAATATAAGAAACATTGATTTTTACTGATGTATATAGTTTAACAAATAGATCAATTATTGAGTTGTGGAGTGTAGTAACAATATAGCATCCAGAAATATCTTCTAAAAAATTTTGAGATTAATGAAATTTGATAATGTTCTTTCACACACAAAACATAAAAGAATAAACAAATTGCAATCCGCATGAAAAAATTTTAGTTGCTCAACTATAATTTGAAAAAAAAGGCATACCAGTTAGCATCATGTGTGACTCAGTATGAACAGTTGGTAGTAGTCAGGAGTGTCCATTTAAGCAATAATAATCCTCTAAACCATGGTAAGATGGCATTAAACTTTGAGTTTTCTATCTGATAGTAACTCTATTTCTGAAAAACAAAAATATACATGTGTGAAAAAAAAAGGGAAAGGAGAGCCAAAAATTAAGCTTGCAGAGTTTTTCTGAATTTAGTATAAAATTTGCAAGAATCAAAGAAAAATGTCACTTGGGACAATTTTTTCTTGCTAGTTTGCTACTATATAACAGTTGAATCTTTTTTGTATATTTTCTTTTGTTAAAATAAAAAAATGTAAATGTTTCTGCTGGGTGAGTTTTTTTAGTAAAAAAAATGATAAATAATTAGTGTTTTAAAAAATGCTGGTATTTCTAAGGTTGCCATTACTTTTCATTAGCCAGGCGGCTAATGAAAAGAAATTGAAAGCCACTATGGTCAACATTGATCAATCGTTCCTTGGATGTTTGATCTAATACGCAAGTAGAGTCGGGCCAGTCAATAAAATTTAATTGAGCGATCAATAGTTATTTTTAATTGCTTTGTTTCTTTGAAGTGAACAACGTGACAACGCTCTTTGATCAACCAATTAAGAGTTTATTTAATTGATCTGGAGAAGTATAAAAGAAAGAAAAGAGTATAGGTGAGGCATTTCCTACAATACTCGTTCATCGTGTTAAATATTCAATTTTGGTGTTTAAGTTATTTAACAAAAACAATCAATTCTAATTCTTAACGTTTTAGCTAATTCAGAAAAAAAATAATTTACAATGTCTTCAATAAATATGAATAATTTACAAATTGAAAATGTTCAAAATTTGGAAGACAAATCGTTAGACAATTTACTATTCGAAACAAATGTAAATTATTTTGAAAACAGAAGAAACATGGCATTTTACAAAGGCAAAAGATTCAAGAAAAGGTTTAATGCTGTGAGTAACAATGTAGAAAGCTCTAACAACGCTGAACAAATTCTATCAAACTCAAAAATTTTTGCCTCTCCAGCAAATTCAGATGAAAACCTCTCCGTAAATACCTCGGTCTGGTCCTCAAAGTCCATCGATTCTAACAACGTCAACAACGATTCGGATTCATCGTTTATTTCTCCTTACCCAATTTATTTCACTGATTGCTCAGCAAAACCTCTAACATCTGAGGACAACATAAGTACCAAGATGAAGGATCACGCATGTACATCATTTCCCATCACAACAACTGTCCAGCATGCAACGCTGAAAATCGACAGTGTAGCATTAGAGACAATTCGGATCATATGAAACTACTCTACATGAAAATAACAGTCCAACTGAAGAAAAATCAAACATATCTGTGAACGTGAAAATATTAAAAGTTTGTGAGAAAAATTTGGGAGTTGGTGAGCGAAATTCTTCTTAGACTATTGAATTCATCAAAAAACTAATTGACGATATTTTTCAATTGATTTTTTACTATTTTTGATTTTGTTCTTTTCTACTGTTTTATTTTATGATTAATGATGAATAATTTGATAATTTGTTTATTAGTTTCATTTCCTCCTTTTGAAATTCGTTGAAATGAAATGAACTGCGCAATTTTTTAATTCATCAATTTTTTTTGCAGATTTTGTTTTTAATAATTTGAAATGATTTTTTTAACTTAATGTACTCCGTGAATTATATATAAAATCTGAATAAACAAATTCAAACTCAGCTTCAGCGTTGTATTGTTTTAGTTTTACTGACTGACATTTTATATAACATCGGATCAAATATGGAAAATTATCAGATGATTTTTCGCTATTGTTTCAGTTTTTAATGTTTTCACTCGCCTTTCATAATTTAAAATTCTATTTAATTTTTGAAATTCGGTCAGTCATTGCTCACTGTTGTATTCATGGTGGTGGACCAGAATACTTGAAGGAAGTTTCTCGTGAATAATCTGAACTGGACATATAACATGCTCTGCGATCGATCTCCTGGAAATTGATGGTAGTTCCTAGAACTAAGACAATGGTGGGTGATAGATGTATGCAAGTTGCTTTACCAAAGATTTGGAACGATCCACCTGTAAAAAAATTCAAACAGGAACTGAAGACGCACTGGTTCAATAATTTTTTTTATTTATAACCTCTGAGGAATATCTATGAGAGAATAATATTAATTATCTTTAAAACACCGAGTATCTTACGCACGAACGTCTGGTATATATCGGCTTCCGTATTTATGACTTCAAGCATTATGAACCACAAACTTTCAGCGTCATTTTGTTTATAGTTTCTTATCCCAATACATGCTCAGCTCATCTATTAATATTACCAACGGCAAATGAGTTTTTTTTGTTCAAAATTTTTTAGTTTCACAGGTTCTATCTAATTTTTATGTTTATTTTTTATTATATTATCATTTCCAATTCGTCCATTATATTTCCATTCATAATATTTCAACCTTATTATTTGTTTACAAATTGGTTAAAAATTCATGTCATATTAATTAATTAGTTTATTACTGTTAAATTTCTTATTACGTAGATCGCTTAATTAATTGATACAATATTGAAAGACATTAATAGACAAGAAATAAACTTTGCAACGTTCTCGACTTGTTTATTATCAACCGGATCAACAGAAAAGGAAAAGTGAAGTTACATACAAAGCAAAGAACATTGGGTCCAAAGAAAATAAATGTATACTATAAATCATAATGTTTTAATATAAAACATAAAACTTAACACCTTCTCATTTTATTTAAAACATTAGATGACCTTAACCTAAATGTTCTGAAGACCCATCGCACACATCAGATTCTTTAGTCTTGGTCCTACCATTGGTTTTGTCAGAGCATCAGCAACTTGAAGTTCTGTCGCAACTCGTTCAACTGAAACTTCTTCTTCTGCAACTTTTTCTCTGACAAAGAAATGTCTAATGTGGATGTGCTTTGTTCTTCTGTGAAGTTCTGGATTGTGTGCTAACCGAATTGCTGCTTCATTGTCGACAAAAATTTCTGGTTTTTTCTTTAGATCTACGATGTCGTTCAACCATCGTTTGAGCCATATCACTTCACGAGCTGCTTCACTTGCGGCAACGATTTCTGCTTCAGTAGTTGAAATCGCAACTGAGGGCTGACGTTGGCTAAACCAACTGATCACGCTTCCTCCAAACATACAGATTACACCTGATGTCGATCTTCCACTAGTTTTATCTCCTCCATGATCTGCATCACTGTAGGCTATAAGTGTATTGTTTTGACCAGACTTGTAAGCAATACCGACATCAGCTGTGCCTTGCAAATATCTGAAAATTTGCTTAACTTGTGCTACACTAGACTTGCTGGGTTTCTCTAAACTTCTGGATGCTACTCCAACTGCATATGCAATATCTGGTCTTGTTCCCGTCATCAAGTACATCAATGCACCAACTGCTGATCTGTAAGGAAATTTCACTTCCTCATGTTCATTTTTGTTTTCATCGAACTCCTCAGATTTTGAAATCGGAGTTGTACAGGATTTACACTGACTCATCCCAAACTTTTCAAGAATCATTCTTGTATAGGATGACTGACTGACATTAATATTTCCCTTCTCATCTTGATTAATCTCTAATCCAAGGAAATATTTTGCAGGTTTAGATGTTATCTTGAACTCAGACTTTAATTCTTTTTCAAATATTTTTAGTTCTTCTTTATCGGTTCCTGCAACTAGTCCATTATCAACATACAGTGCAAGTATGAGTTTCTTTCCTCCCTGTATTCTAATGAACAAACAAGTATCTGCATCGCTTTGTTTGAAATGTCTCTTTTTCAAGAATTCAGCAAAGCGTTTGTTCCAACATCTTGGAGCTTGTTTAAGTCCATAGAGACTTCGCTTGAGTTTACAGACTCTTCCTGAATTATCTTTAAAACCTTCAGGTTGCTCCATGTAAATATCTTCATCTAGTTTGCTGTATAGAAATGCTGTTGACACATCAAACTGCATGAGTGACATCTTTTCATTTGCAGCAACACTTAATAGTGTTCTTATAGTTGAACTTCTGACCACAGGACTATAGGTTTCTTCATAGTCAATTCCCTTTTTTTGAGAAAAACCTTTTACCACTAGCCTGGCTTTAAAACGTTCAACAGAACCATCTGGATTGTGTTTTACCTTGTAGACCCATTTGCATGGTATTGCCTTATGACCTTTTGGAAGACTTACCAAATCCCACGTTTGATTTTCCTTTAATGACTGCATTTCACTGTTCATGGCTTTAAACCATTCATCTTTTTCATCACTTTGAATGGCATCTTTGTAGCTCTCTGGTTCAAGTACTTCACTTAATGCAGACATAACGAAAGGATCATAACGAGATGGCTTTTTGATATTATTCCTGTCACGTAAAACCATACCTTTGGTCTTTTGATTACAACAGTCAGATTGATCTTCTTCATCAGATGAAACTGAACTACGGTTGTGAACATCTTCATTAGTGTCATCTGAAATTTCTTCTTTTGAATCATCATTTCTACTACTTGAGTCATTTTCTGATTTGCAATTGATTTTAGGATCTGTTGTAAAATCTTTTTGAGTCGGATGTTCAAATGATGTTGTACATTTCATAGGTTTTTCTTGGAAAACAACATCTCTTGAGAATATCATTTTATATTGATTTTTGAGCCATATACGATAGCGTTCGTCACCATCGTAACCAACAAGGTAACCTTTTATGGCTTTCTTATCCATTTTTTGACGTTTTTGATCAGGTATGTGAACAAAACATGTAGAGCCAATTATTCTCAAATGGTTAATTCTCGGCTTTTTACCTGTCCAAATTTCAAATGGGCTTTATCTTCAATCGACGACTTGCCTGTTCGATTAAGTAAATATACTGCAGTTGAACATAACTCAGCCCACATAGCGACTGGAAATTCAAAATCTGG